CGCCAACCTCTCGAACTCCTTTTGGTAGTCACGTACACTCCCCGTCTGTCGGATCCGAGTCAGCGCCTCGTCGTGGTTATGATAATCCGAGTTCCCAAAACGCGTAAGGAGCTCGCGTTCAAAATCTTCCCAACGGATTGGTTGTTGCCGTCCGCGATACACGCGCGTGAGCCACTGCCACCACACGTTGGCCTCACCGTCTAAATAGTACGCGGCATAACGAACCCAGTCACGTTGCGACATCTCATTTAAATCGAAAAATTGCACTACCCTGTTCAGCCAAGCGTCGGGGTTGGTTCCCGTGAACGTTGAGAGCACGATCCTTGGCTTCTCGACGCGTGGTCGCTCACTAACGTTCGACGCCTGCGACCGCTGCTCGTACTCTTCCTCCTCGTCGAGGTTGTGCTCAGCCCGCTGCTGCTCCTGTTGCCTTAGACGCTCGCGTGCATTCACCCGCGGTGGCTCCTGCTGCTGCTGTCGCTGGAACCCGCGCAACACCTCCTCCAGGCGCTGCTCGAGGCGAGCCACGGCAGCGTTGGTGCTGACCTGACCTTCGTCGAGCGATCCAAACCGATCCTCCATGCTCTCACCCATGGCCTTGAATTGGCCTTCCAATCCTTCAACCTTTTCTTTCAACTCACGATTGGCCATATCTTTTCTGGCTTGCCTACGTTCTCGACTTCCCGGACTAATTTTGATTTTTTTTTTATTTTTTTTTTATTTTTTTTATTTTTTTTTTTGGCTTTTGACGATTTTTTTTTTTTTGAACGAACGAAAATTACGAAAGAAAAATTAAAAGAGAATGGGAAGTCGCACACTCGCAGCCTTTCTAACGAATAAAGTTGCAAAAGAATTCAAGAAGAAAACTAGAGCAAAGAGTTGTGAACAAAAGTTCGGATTTTTGTATTAATTTCTGAATGAATAAATCAACAAGAGGAAGAGCCTTTATATAGGCATCAACTAGATCTAGTCCTAATATAACTATAACTCTAATAAAGCAATTAAATATTAGGTATCCTAAACAAACTAGAAAACAAGGAAATAAATATTTAGAATATCTCTTGCTTGCGATTCAAGCCGCCATTGCGCGCGTGCTGCCCTCGCGCGCCCGCCTCGCCTACTCCTTGCGTGGTTAGGCCTGCTCGCGCGTGAACCTCTTCGTCTGCACCCGCGCTACTGCTCCCTTGGCCGAGATTCTCGCGCGAGTCTCCGTCCGCGCGCGCATGTCCGTTAACGAGTTGGGCTTGGGCAACCCGTCGGCTTAACCTCCGTCGTGCATGATAAGCGCGGCTCGCAGCATTCTTTAATCTCCTTGCCGTGTTCTCATCACTTACGCCCCAGCGCCCGCAGCACCGCGCCCCAGC